ATTCTCTCTCTCCCTCTCATTCTGCCTCTCTCCTTCTCACTCTCTTAAAAAAAAAAAAAGGGAGGGGGGGGGACAGGCTATGGATGCTATGGCTGAAAGTCAACCTGAATCCCAGTAGCCTCATATTACCTGAAAGACCTTGGGCGTGCCACCTCACAGATCTCAACTTATTCGTTTGTTTTAAAGCCTTCAATTTTAAGTAATCTCCACACCCAGGGTGGGGTCCGAACTCCTGACCCCAAGATCAAGAGCTGCGTGTTGTACTGACTAAGCGAGCCAGGCACTGCTCTGAGCCTTGGGTTTCTAATCGGAGAAACCAGTTCCATCCCACTCCTGAATCCACAAGTCAGAAATAACCAGTTTGCATTTTGGTGTAGTGCCTTCCAGGCGTTTGGGTATCTGTATCATTTTTAAAAACCTAACACGTGTTATGATAGTTGTGTATCCTTTCTAATGGAACTCGTCGGAGGCCTAATTTGTAATGGCTTTCGTTTTTGTGTCAACTTCTAAAAGTTAATTCACACTGGGGCGCCTGGGTGGCTCAGTGGGTTGAGCATCCGACTTCAGCTCAGGTCATGATCTTGCGGTTCGTGAGTTTGAGCCCCACGTCGGGCTCAGTGCCGACAGCTCGGAGCCTGGAGCTGCTTTGGATTCTGTCTGTCTCTCTCTCTCTCTCTCTCTCTGCAGCTCCCCACTCTCACTCTCTCTCTCTCTCAAAAATAAATAATAAACATTAAAAAATAATAATAAAGTTAAAGTAACTCATGTTATATTCCTTTGTAAAAACAAAATATGAAATTGCAATCTGTTTAATATAGCCATTAACAACTAAGCTGTAGAAGAATCCTATGGATTAATGTCTAGGTACTGATTTTGAAACCTATCTGCTCTGGGTGGCATTGGGCCTCCTCTTTCCCCCTAAAAAAAGATCTTTTGGAATCCTAATCCCTGTGCCTCTGATCATAACCTTATATGGAGACAGGGTCTTTCTAGACGTACTCAGGTTACAATGAGGTCATTAGGGTGGGCCCTACTCCAATATGACTGGTGTCCTCATAAAAAGGGGAAATTTGGACACAGAGGCAGATATCCACACAAGGAGAATGCCATGCCACGATGAAAAGAGGGATCAGGGTGATAACAGCAGAAGCCAAGGAACGTCAAAGATTGCCAGCAAACTACCAGAAGCTTGGGGCAAGGCATGGAACAGATTCTCCCGCACAGCTCTCACAAGGAACCAACCCTTACCTCACCTTGAACTTGAATTTGTAACCTCCAGAACCTCGAGACAATAAATTGCTGGTTCAGCCACTCAGTACTTGGTTCAAGCAGCCTTAACAAACCAATCCATTATCCAGATGTTGCCAAGAATTCGAAGGAGGCGATTATTCTGACCTCATCGTAGGCATTAACAGAGAACTGTCCAGGACCGCACAGTGTTGCCGTGGGAGTTTTGCGGTTCACCTGTGCACCACCAAATTTGGGCCTTGAAAACAGTCTCCAGGGTTATGCTCACCCAGTTCATAACCTAGTTCATCTCACTTAGGTGGGTTGGTAAAACGACAGTAAAAAAGCAGCTGGTGATGTCCAAGGGAGGATAGTGATCTTCCACACGTTCAGGATGAGTTAACTACTCCATTATTTCAAGCTCTTTCCCCGCCCCCCCCTCAATCTTTTTACTACAGAAAATTTCTAACAAAAATATAATGAGCTTATGTAAGTATTGCTGAGGTTTGCTTTTAGTTACACAAGTCAATTCTGATTTCCCTACTCAAACCCCCCACATCAAATTATTTTAAAGGACATCCCAGACTTTACATCATTTTTAAAAAATGTTTGTTTATGCATTTGGAGAGAGAAAGCATGAGCGAGGGAGGAGCAGAGAGGGAGGGAGAGAGAAAATCCCACGCAGGCTCTGGGCTGTCAGCACGGAGCCCGACACGGGGCTTGAACTCACAAACCATGAGCTCGTGACCTGAGCCGAAATGGAGTCAGATGCTTAACCGACTGAGCCTCCCAGGCGCCCCTAAATCATTTTTAATAGCTTTATTGAGATCGAAATGACATGCCATATCGTTCACCTATTTCGTGTACAACTCAACGGTTTTTAGTATATTTACAAAAATATGCAGCCATCACTACAACTAATTTTAGAACATTTTCATCATCCCCAAAGAAACTCTATATTCACCAGCTGTCATTCTCTATTCCTCTCTCAACCTCCCGATTTTATCTGTAAATATTTCATATGCGCTTCTAGAAAGGTGGGAACTGTTCTAAAAATACATAACAATGTTATCACATATGAGCTTTTTTAAAACAATAATTATTGGGGTGCCTGGGTGGCTCAGTCGGTTAAGTGTCAGACTTCGACTCAGGTCGTGATCTCACGGTTCATGAGTTCGAGCCCCTCGTCGGGCTCTGTGCTGACAGCTCGGAGCCTGGAGCCTACTTCCGATTCTGTGTCTCCCTCTCTCTCTGCTCCTCCCCTGCTCACTCTCTGTCTCTCAATAATAAATAAACGTTAAACACACACACACACTAATTATTGAATATCAAAGATAAGATCACTGGTCACATTTTCTTGACTATTCTATATTACCAGTTTGCTTTAATCAGGATCCAAATAAAATCCTTACACTGCAAAGTGCAATTGCTAGATGTATCTGTTAGTTTTCTTTTAATCTTTTTTCTTTTTTCTTTTAATCTTTTCTTTCTTTTCTTTTTTCTTTTAATCTTTTCCTTCTTTTTTTCTTTTAATCTTTTCTTTCTTTCTTTTTTCTTTTAATCTTTTCTTTCTTTCTCCAACTTATTTTTTTTCCTTACAATTTTTTATTGAAGAAACTAGGTTATTTGTTCTATAATGTCTGCTAGGGCCTGGAATTTTCTGATTATATCCTTGAACATTTACAATGTTCCACCATCCCATGTATTTCCTATACACTGGTAGCTGGATCTAGGATCTTAATCAGAATCGATGGTTTTTGTTTGTTTGGATAAGTTTACTTCATAGGTAGAAGTGTTGTGTCAAAATTCCTTTAAATTTTTCTTTTATTGTGAAAGACACCATACTTGGGGCAGTGCATAAAAATAGTTATGTAGTTTAAAAAATAGTTATATAGTTTAAATAATAATAATAATAAAACAAATATCCAGCATCCATCACAGAGATTTAAAAAACAATAAAATATTGGGACGCCTGGGTGGCTCAATCAGTTAAGTGTCTATTTTGGCTCAGGTCATGATCTCACGGTTCATGGGTTCGAACCCCACGTCAGGTTCTGTGCAGACAGCTCAGTCTAGAGCCTGCTTCAGATTCTGTATCTCCCTCCCTCTGTACCCCTCCCTGCTTGCTCTCTCTCTCAAAGATAAATAAACATTAAAAAAATTCTTAAAAAAATATAGAGAATTGCCAGGTCCTCAGAAATCCCCAATCTGCCTTCCTTAATGAAATCTCTAATTAAATCCTTCTCTTCCTGCCCCATTCTAGAGTAAGCCCTGTCCTGATTTTTGTCATAATTATTCTTTCACTTTCTTTATACCCCTTACGAATATATTCCTAAAGAGAATATTGTTTGGTTTTGCCATGACTTGCTTAAACACCCCCCCCAACATTGTTTTTGAGACTAATCCAGGTTGTTCCAGATAACTGCAGTTCATTCATTTTCATTGTTGTATATAGTATTTCATTATATGAATACACTAACTTATTCTTTTGTAGTGGATATTTTCAGTGACAACCTATAGGCGAAGTGCTTTAATGTCATTTTTTTTTTTAGAGAGCTAACAAAAGGGTGTCGTTGAAAATATTCCATGATTTTTGAAGGAGAGGGACATATTCATGTCATTTAAGGGCTAGAAATGTGTTTGTAAGATGAATGACCACTTATTCATAGCTATGTAGCAGCTAAGCATTAGATAAGAATCTACATAAACGATGTCCTTTTTAGGGCAAATGCAAAACATTCCATTCACTCCAGAAATTTACTTCTCTCTTCTGATTTCTTTTTTCATCTCATTCCTCCTGGTTGCTTCTTGCCCTTTTAGGAGTCTCTGTGTTTTGTTTTTTAATGTTTGTTTGTTTAGAGCAAGTGCGCGTGTGCGCGCGCGCACACACACACACACACACGCACACAGGGGAGGGGCAGAGAGACAGGAGAGAGAGAATCCTAAGCATGCTCTGAGCTGTCAGCACAGAGCCTGATAAAGGGCTTGATGTCATGAACCACAAGAACCTGAGCCAAAATCAAGATTCTGATGCTTTAGCAACCGAGCCATCCAGGTGCCCCTAGGAGCATCTTTATAATAGGTTTTATATCATGAGCTCTGGAACCAGAATTTCATACTCGAATACGCATAACTCGATGCATAATCTAAGGCTCTAGATAATGTACGACTACCCTCTTTAGAGTGATGCTGTGAGGAATAAACTAGGTACCATACTAGACATGACCCTTGGCACCTTTCAAATAATGTTGGGCATTATCTTCACCTCCAAAAGTTTGCCTATGTTTCATACCCCAAAATATTTCAGTCCATAAAATCTGCTGTCTAGAATTAGTGTTTTCCACCAATTTCCAGGGAAAATCAAGTCTGCATAGAAACTATTCCTAATTTCCCTTCTCTTTTTTGTTTTAAGGAGTAAAAGTTGTTGTTATTAAATCTCAACTCTTGAGTACATTTTTAAAAGTATAATCATATCAGTTTCAGGTGCACAATATAGTGATTCAACAATTCTATGCATTTCTCAGGGCTCATTGGGGAAGTGCGCTTTTGACCCCCTTTATCTATTTCAGCCATCCTTCCTCCTACCTCCCACTCTTGGTGACCACCGGTTTGCTCTCCGTATTTAAGAGTCTGTTTCTGGTTTGTTTTTGTTTCTTAAATTCCACATACGAGTGAAACCATATGGTACCCGTCTTTCCCCGTCTGCCTTATTTCACTTATTTGTGATTTGACTAATTTCCTCCCCTCTTAGGACCTCTCGCAGAGATTCCTACCTTGTGCCCAAGACTTTTTTTTGAAGGAGCAGCGTACCTTCATGAGTTTGTGTTCTTGAACAGTGCTCCATCCAAGCCGATATCCTGCAAACTTGTAATCCTCAGTTTCTCTTAAAGCTTGGAGCAATCAAGCTATAAATAAAAGGTAATGCATTCAGTCTTGGCAATTAGAAGGCTTACGTGCCCCTTTCCCTTCTCACTACCACCCTCCTTCCTTGCTTTTATCTCTTTATGTCTCCCTTACCTCATGTCTCTTCCTCTAGGTTTGTGTGAGACCCACGACAGACACTTCACATTTGTTTAAACTTTTAATTGTGATAAAATGTACCTAATATTCACCACCTGAACCATCTTTAACTGTACAGTTCAGCAGTGTTAAGTGCATGCACATGGTTGTACAACCAATCCTCAGAACCTTTTTCATCCTGCAGAACTGAAACTCTGTACCCATCAAACAACCAACGCTCTATTCCCCCTCCTTCCCACCCATGGCACGTAACCGTTCTACTCTCTGTCTCTATAAATTTGACTACTCTGGGTAGAGTACTAGTAAATGTAGTCTAGTAAATGCAGACTACCTTCATTTAGGTAGAATCACGCAGTGTTCGTCTTCTCGTGCCTGGCTTATTTCACTTAGCACGTCCTCAAGGTTCATCCACGTACAGACACCTCTTCATGAGCCTCTTTCGCTTCTTTTGAGTATATTCCCAGAAGTGGGACTGCTGGGTCCCCTGGTAATCCTATTTTTAATTTTTTTGAGAAACGACCATTCTGTTTTCCGTACTGGCTGCATCACGGTAGACACTTGGGTTTCCGTGACGCCCTATGGGGTAAAAAATACTGTGTTCTGGACCACAGCTGTGGAAAGGACGGTCAAGAACGAACACTGGCAATTATCAGGCTTTGCCATTAAAAAGCGTGGACTTCCCGGAATGTGGAACCACATTACAAACCATCTGGTCCACTCCCCTCAGTTACAGGGGAGTAAACTGGGACTCTGAGAGGGCAAAAGTGGCTGGGGAAGGACAAAGGGCTAGTTAAGGGGAGATTTCAGAACCGGCATCCAGGGCTTTCCAACCTTCAACTCACGGCAAAGAAAATAATTTTCAACTTGAGATACTGTGCGATGAAGTACAAGAATTACGGAATGGATCATTCAAGAGCCTCTGGGATGCTCTCTCTGTGTGTTCTGCTTTTCTTTCTCTGGCCGGCTTTTAGCCTCCGTGTCAACCTTGACCCCGAGCCCGCTTTTCTGCCTGCCGCTAACGACCGGGTCCTGAGCATCCTTAGAGACAGAGGGGGAGACAAAGAAAACCGGTCCGCAATGAGGATCCCCCGAGCTTGGAAATGCGACCCTCTGCTCCGGGCCGGGGGGGGGGGGGGGGGGGGGGGGGGGGGGGGGGGGGG